AGATTTAGCTGAAACCCACTTAAATTTATCTTTTCTCTTAGCTTTATGCTGACTCCAATTCAGTGACAAAGACAAGATAGAATTAAAGAATTTTAACACTAAAAAGAATATTAGAAGTTATTTCTTCCACGGACTTGTTTCAATAATGGCAAGTAAAACAGAAATATGTAGATTCACCAGAAGAGTATTTTCATGGATAATAATAGTTAACTTAGCTTTTCAAAAGTCTTAAATATTTAAGCATTAATATAAAAGCAGCCTAAGAAAATAATTTAATCAACATTATTCTTGCAAGAGTTTGTTACAAAGCTACAATAGTCGGTGGTCATTTTTTATCGTGTTACTAAGAATGCTAGTATTTAACAAATGCACTCCTATGAAAGGCAAAGGCTTATACAGCCAATTCTGGCTCCAGTGCTGGCTTTTCCTTCAACTGCTTCATAAGGGAATATACTTTTACAAACCAACTGGATCTAAATATTGCCTAGTTGACTACATGGCCAAAATTATAGGCTAATTCTATGATCCATGTCTTGGTCTCTATAATACCAGGTATAACCACTGGGCTCAGTTAGCCTGCACCTGAATCAGCCACTCTTAGAATGCAGACACACTGATAGGTTATCTTTGATTCAGATACACACTTCAAAGCATACGGAGACTTACAGCACAATAAATGGTCATCAACATCCCTGAATATCTTCTGAAATTGTGATTTTTCCCCCCCCACCAAACAGAACTTCAAATCTCAGTTTCCCCTGAGCTCACAGTAATTTAGCAAGGTGAATTAATTGCAATCTCTAATTGCAGCCTGCTCAACTAACTATGTACCCCATTTGTATCTCTGTTGTTGTACTCCATTGAAGAAATCGCCCATGCCTCTTTTCTGTTCCTGCAATCCTAAATTCAGCTGGTGGTGGGAGAGAGTAACAGAGCAAAGAATTCAGAGCAGTGGTTCTGGCATCAGACAGCCTGCTATTGAACCCCAGTCTGCTGCTCATGAGCTATGTGACCAGGGAAAGTTACTAAACTGCTCTATGCCTCAACTTCTTTTTTAGTAAAATAGGCATGAGTAACAATACTGGTGAATTGTCACACATGTGTAGTGTAAACACCACATAAGTGTTAGTTGTTACTATTTGTTATCAGTAAGGAAGTATAATTTTTATAAGCCACTTGAAATTCAAAAACTTAGTATCTCAGAGCCATTTATTCCAAAGTACTATCATCTCAGGATGTTGTTCAGTATGGTACCACACGTTTCTATGCCACAGTCATCAAATTACAGCAAATTAAATGTCTAGACCCTGATTCTTTTAAATATCCCATTAACTAGTGATATTTGCAAACAAAATATGAAGATTTTCAACCTTAATAACTTCTTTTCTATCATACAATGAATCTGATTTACTAAGTTCACAGTATAAACTGAGTGATAGGCCACTGTGATTAATAACAACAGCAGCAGCAATAGCTATGCGCAAGGAACTGTACTAAGGGCTTTATGAGCATTCTCCTATTTAATACTCATAAAACCTCTACAAGACAAGAATTATTATTATCCCAATTTGACACATAAGGAAACTGAGGCCCAAAGAGGTTAAGTAACTTTCCCAAGTTTACACAGCCAGTGAGTGGTACAGTCAAAACTTGAACTCAGGCTCTCTGGATCCAAGCCCTATACTACACTGCCTCTCACTGGGGGTTTTCTTAGGGTATAGGTATCACTTCTGAACTAAACACTGTGGCTATAGGAGATTCGATATTATTGGCAAAGCCTGGGCTACATGCTCACCCAAAAAAAGTCAGAGGAAAACTAAGCTCCATACAAATCATATGGACTGATATGCTCTAAGCCAAACTGTGGTGTCTGGATTCAAGGATAGTAAGAATCAGGGAGCAAAGGATAAACATGAAATGAAGGCTCAGACTGCATGCCCTAGCTCCTGGCCTACCTTGAGTTCACAGAGGCAGGACTAAGTCCTAGAAGTCTTAACAGCTCATGTAGAACAGGCTGTCTTCTAGTCAGGGGAGCCTGGAATTGTGGACCCAGTATTCTTTATATGCCCAGTCTCATCAGCACACAGAAACAACTTAAACCACTACAGAAGACAAAAATTCTGCCACATCACCAGGTCTAACTGCCGGGTTCTGGGCCTTGACATTCTAGTTGTACTGGCACTAGGCCATTTCCACTTATTTTTAGGACTTAGGATTTTTCCCTTTGGGAAACTTAGATGCATTCTATGGCCTACCACTATAAGGGTTGATTTACAAAGGCAAACCAGAATATTTATTAGTAGAAGAGAGAATAAATGAGGAACAGGCAAAATTGATGTGATAAATTAAGGGTAAGTTACAGGTAAGTTACAATGTGACAACAACAGATAAGTACAATATAATAACTATAGCTAAATGCTGTTACCCTAGTCAACATTTATGCAGAACTGATTCAAAATAGTTTAGTGACTGCATAGTTACCCAGCTAGAGCATGGCAAAGTCCAGAAGTCCAGGCAAGAACTCCTGGTTACCTGCCCTATTTGCCTAGGGGTTTTCCAAGACACAGAACTTTCACTGCAAAAACTGGAAACATCCTCAAAACTCAGGGCCACATTATGACTTGCATGGTCCCTAGGCATTTTTGCCTTCACTGGCTCCTTCCACTATAAAAAAAAAAAAAAAAAAAAATGTATATTTTCCAACTATAATGGTATAAAGACAAATATAATCCAAACTTGATGATATCTCCTTTTTCCTTCTGACTTTAAAAGCAATTAAAACATTGTGGAGAACTCCTAAAAGTATGGGTTTTAGGGTCAGTTGGGCCTATAAACAATCCATCATGGATCCATTTTTTCTTCATGTGTTGGCCACACACAGCATGCATCCCTCTCCTGCCCAGGCTGCCTTACCTCTGGGTTGCAACATGGCTGCCAGTAACAATGGAAGCAAAGGGCTCCATTGTTCCCCTTCACTGTGAGCTTGGGAAATCTTTCCTCTAACTATGGAAAAGAAATCTTCCCATCAGTTCTGTTCCTGCTAAGGGCATGTACCTCAGTAGGGGTTTGTCCCCCAGCCCAGGGGTTGAGTGGGTGGCAGCCAGTCTATGTGCCTCTCTCACATCGATGTTTCTCTCTCTCCTTCCTGCTCTATCTGAAGATAAATGCCAAAAAAAAAAAAAAAAAGTCATCAGGTGAGGATAAAAAAAAAAACATGCTAAGTAAAGGAAGCCAACAGAAGAATGCATACTCTAGGATTCCATTTATATAACTTATGCTGAGAAAAGATTGCAGAGAAGCAAGTATATAGCAGGGAGACATATTAGGAGGCTGTTGTAATAATCTAAGTGGAAGATGGTGGTGGCTTAGACCATGGTGCTCACAAAAGAATTGATAAGAAGTGGTCCGATTCTGGATATATTTTGAAGATGAAGCCAAAGGAGTTTTCTGAAGAATTGAATCCAGGATGTAAGAACTGAGCAAATGGAAAGATGAAATTGCTTTTAATTAAGATGGTGAAGCAGGTGAGTAGAGTAGGTTGGGAGAGAGTGAGAATCAGCAGACCTGTACAATTTGATATGTCCAGTAGGTGTACAGATGAAGATAACAAGTCAGCAGTTGGATATACAGGAAGAGCTCCAGGCTGGAGATAGAAATTTGGGAGTTCTAACCCACTATTTCTGAAGAAAGGGTTGAGGAGAGGTAGAAAATTTTCCAAAGAAAATGTGTGTACACATCGTTTTACTGTAAAAATTTAAAGATCCACTTTTTTTTTTTAGCTTGGAGGTCATTAATGACTAGAAAAACATACTTATTTGAATTTTGTTAGTAAAAATCTTCAGTACTGTTAGCACTGAAGTAAGGTTTAGGATCTTGAAGTTCTCTGATCTTACCCAATATTGTGTGGCTTGCAACCAAACTGGCAATATCTCTGCAACCCACTGCATACCCCAAACATAGGGAGACAGCCTGTCTCTTGTACTATCTACCACCTTCCCTACAGCAGAGAAAGAAAAGGAGCTGTTACTCTCCCTCCCACCCACCCTCTTCCCCAGGCTCTGGGTCAAAGTCCTTAACACCTTTAGTTTGCACATTGTCTCATTCATGAAATTGTATTTGGCTGTTTACTTCTTAGAAGACATAACTGCCTTGGAAGCAAACTACTAATCTGATTTTAGAGATGGAGGCTTTAGAGATAAACACAATCTATGTAGTATGATTTGAAGAAGCCAGGAAAAAAATCTTCCCCTTCAGATTCCTGAAATTCCTCTGGTAGTATGAAAGGTGAGAGTGAAATGCCCAACTTTGAATGACTGGTATTGGGAACTCCAAAAATGAACCAGTGAAGAAAAAAAGGCAGTAGGTGAGAACAGGGGCCCATAAAAAAGGGAGGTTTGAGAAAATAAAAACAAACACCACTTCACATTTTTGTTACTGTGAGGTCTACTTAGCCCATTCCCAACATCTGAAACATAGTAGACCATAAGTATTTGATGAATGAATAGATTACTTTTTTTCTACATTTGAAGAAGCAGACCCTCCCCCACTCCAAACAACAAAAAGCATCTAAATGAAAAAAAAAAAAAAGTTTCAGTTCTATGAATGGGATTAATTTACTCTCCTAGAATTCACTAATTGGGAGGAAAATAAGCAATTTCCCAGGACCCTCAGAAGAACACCCCCAGAGACGTCCCCCCACAGGCGTCAGAAATTGCCCTGCAGGCTGGAGCATCATCAAGCCTGATTCAAACTTCAGACATCATTTGCCAAACATGCCATCTTCGGCCTGGGTTTCAGGCGTGTGTGGGAACTGGGGAAAAGAGGCTGGCAAAGAAGGATAGGTGGGGTGGCTGAGAGAGCCCTAGTGGAGGGGGCGCGGACCCAGCGGCTCAGCGCGCTCTTCCTCCCGGCTTGCAGGGTTTGGCTCAGCCCACGCGCCTCCCTCAGCTCTCTCCTCCGCCCCCCTTCGCCCTCTCCATTTCCCTCCCTTTCTCCTCCTCCTCCTCCTGTAGCCAAGGCCGCTGCCAGACCTCGCCAGTTCAGACCCACGGGGCTGCCCTCCCCTGCACTCTCCCCTCGCTTCCCGGGCCTGGAGCGCAGCGCTGCCGCGCAGGTAGGAGCCCTCGACTCGGGGGTCACACCTTTGCGCCCAGTGCCCGCAGGGCTGCGCGCTGGCGAGTAAGTGGGGTAATCTGAGGGGTGCAGTGTACCAGAGAACTGACCCAGATTTTGCAGGATCTCTCAGGCAGAGAGGGAGGTGGAGGTGTTTGGACTCTGAATGCGATCTGTCAGCATGTGCGAGTACTAGGGTGACATCTGTTTGTATGGGCATGTGTGTGCGCGCCAACAATCATCAGACAGGGCTTCGCCCATAAATGAGGTTTTTGAAATTTTCAGGGGCTAATGTGCGAGATTTAAGACGCACCTGGATTCCATAGGAGCTGGTTAGATTCCATAGCAGCTCCGGGGTATGCCTCCTGTTAGCCTACTATTAAGAAAAGGGACCTCATTTCACTGGGGGAGCCAGGCCCGCCACCCCAAAACTGGTACCTTGGGCTTCGGTGTGTTCCCCCAGTTCCGGCCCTAGGCAGCCCCATTCCTGAAGGTAGCATGTCATGTCGGGGACCGAGGGACTAATAAGGCACAAGGAAAGCAGACGCACCTCCATACAACCTGGCTGGCGCTTTTAAACAAAGCTGCGCGCAGAGAGCAGCGTGGAAACACCACTTTGAGAGTTTGTGCTGGGAAATGTGAGAAGGAACTCTGAGAGGCAGGTATTCTACCAGAACTGGGAGGAGATTGCCCCTTGAGTTCTGTTGTGGTGTTTTGTTTTGTTTTTTAAGTTTGACGCCAATGTATTCATATTGGTTCGCAGGTATTTCTACAGAGCTGTGCAAAGAACTTAACTAGCTGGAGGTGAGCTCATAGGGAAAACTCTTAACGTTAAAGAGCGTAGGAGATTTGCTGCCCCACCTCCACTCTCGCAAACTAAATAAATACATTAAATAAATACATATGCACTCTCTCTTTTGAAATTAATTACCCTCTATTCTTTTCCTTCGCCTCCGTTCTGGGGCCTGTTGTGTAGGTGCAGTATAAAAGGTACGCTGTGTGTCCTTTGTATATATTGAGCGCAGCCGGGTGGCGTGAAGTGAAATGTAATTCTGCAGCCCTGTTACAGACTTTGGTGCCTCGTTTGGCCACGGGAAGGTTTGAGGAAGGAGAGGAGGGGAGGAGAAACCAGATTTGAAGTTGCCTTTGGTGGAGCCTCAGCTTCCCCCGCCCTCCCTTCCTCCCTCCCTTGTTACTTCACAGCTAAAGTTTTGTTATTTACCCCGCAGCTGATACTAAGCATCCATTTGTCCTGTGTTTTCTTTGAGATTCACGATGTTGAAAGCCCTTTTCCTAAGTATGCTGACTCTGGCGCTGGTCAAGTCACAGGACACAGAGGAAACAATCACATACACGGTAAGGGGTGACGGGATTTGAGATGAGTGCTGTTCAGCAAGATTCTGTGACACAAGAGAGACTTTATCCACTTCTACCGGTGTATGTGGGCTGCACTCTGTAGTGTAGAGGGTAATAAATGACGCGTTAGCAGGGTTCACGTTTGATTCCTTGTAAACTGCTGGTGGTCCTTTCAAAAGTTCATTTAATCACCAATTGAGATAGGGACCAAAATGTAAAGATTTGTGTAAGGCCAAAAAGAGAGAACCCTTTTGAAACAAAAACCAAAGTAAGTTACATGTCTCCAACACATTCAATAAATTAATGGGTGTAAGGAATCGGAAACCCTGGATTCCTACATACATGCAGATGAAACCAAAACTTGCAGAGAAATACTGGAATCAAAAAAGAAAGTTAAACATCACAAAAGCACTTTGCCTCATTTGTACATGGAACTTATGTTCTCAGGTAAGTGGCCTTTATTGATTTTATAAAGGCTAATATTCATTTATAGTATAATTGATATCTCAAATAAATACCCTTGACATAGACTTTATGTATTACCAAGATGTGGTTTCTAAGTGCATTGTGTGAAATTTGATTCTGCATTTTCTATTTAGCATATCTGATATTTCCAAATAACACTTGATTAGTGAATTGCATGGGTATAACCACTGTTTATTAAAAAATTGAAAATAGTATCTGACCTCTCCCACTGCCAGGCAGGGATGTGGTGAAAATAGAGGGCAGTACTTACCTCACTTCTGGTGAGTTTGCACCTCTGTTTTGTGTTGCCTACTCTTTAATCAGTGTTGTAAGGCAAATGACATTTGTTCTGGATCAGAATGTGAAAAACATATTTTTTTACTTGTTCCCAATTTAAAATTAAGTAATCCTACTTAGAAGAATGTGAAGAGAAAAAAAAAAAAAAACCTTAAGAAAACGCTTTAAAGTGAGCATTATTTCTTTTTTCTTCTTTTTTTTTTTTAGTACTATATTATCCCTAGAATGATAGTAATCATCTGGCAAATGTTCCTTGTTGCTGTTCAGATCAACTATAAATCAAATAAGGTTTAATATAAATATTTTGTTAACTTAATAGTAAACATAATTGCTTCCTCTGCTGAAGATAAATAAAGCAAGAGAAATGAATACATGTGTTGTTTATCTTCAACTGAAAATGTTTTGTTATTCAAGCTAAACTTACTACCTTCTTAGGAAGCTAAAATTAAATTAGCTACCCACTTTTATATTCATCTAATCAAAGATTTTATTGCTTTTGTAATTGCTTATCTTAAACATCCTTCCCTTTGTTAATCATCTAAATCTTATTCATCTTTAGCAGAGAAAGTTCCCTATGGATTACACACTATTGTTTTAAGACTACTAACTAGGTTCACTGTTATGAGAACAGATTTTCCAGATATGACATGATTTTAGTGCTAAGATTAGGTCTATTCTCTTTCAAATTGTGTATGCCTAATAACTCGTGGTTAAAGGACAAGATGTAACTCTTTTTTAAGTACTCCACTGTGGAGACATTATCTCCTTTCATCCTCACCGCAAAGTATAAGGTAAGTGGCTAATAGAAGAACTGAAGATCTGGGAGAGTATCTTATTTGCTTCAGGCTACACAGCCAGCAAGTGGTTAGCTAAATTCACTCTAGGCTTGTATAATAGTAGACCCATATTAAAGGTACTGGAACTAAATGCCTAAAACAAACTGCAAGTCTTTTCTATTAGCATACAGGTTATTCAAGTGAACTGTCATTTTGCCTAGCTTGAAAGAGGTACTTTTCGGAAAGATTGGTTCATAGCCACAAGACAGCATTCCCCTTCCATATTAAAGATAGGGTCCATTCAGTTATTTACTTGCTAAGTATCTGCTATGTGTATAAACAGTTTTCATTACTATCAAAAGAATTAAGTTTATTTGTTTACTAAGAAAATTCAGACTTTAACATCAGGGAATTTACCCTGGGAAGATACTATTAAAAAAAATCACAAAGTTCCGAAACAAGTACAAATAATATTATTATGCAAATTAGATTCTATAAATTGCTAAAGCAATAGAAAAGCAAGGGGGTAATTAATGGCAGTGCTGGCATATTGGGGGAGATAGAACTCTGAGCTGGTTCTTGAAGGAAGTAATGACTTCAGACTAATCTAGAAAGGGTGAATAGGCACCTGAATCAGAGGGGAAAAAAGTGGCATAATCAAAGTCTAAAAGTGAAAACAACAAGACAAGTCCAAGAGGTGACAAGATCAGATGGGCTGGAGCTGAGTAGTAGGGAGAACCTGGAGATAATAATAATGGGAGAGGTGAGGTCTGCTGGCCACTGTTATCTCTTAGATAGGGGAACAACATAATCAAGAGAGTAAGAAAGATTGCCATAGAGACTGTGTGTACCATATGGAGATATGGAGACCAGCTAAGGGCCTTGCCTACTCATGAGGTCAGGAAGGCTTATACTAATTGGTAGATATAGGAAATGGACACAAAGTCAGCAGAACTTGAAGGAAAATAATTGGAAAAGTCAATGCTGATGTCAAAATTGTAATCCTGCGTTCTGAGGATGGTGGTAGTACCTTGCTTGAACAGTGTTGGGGAAACTAAGAAGAATGAGTTTGGGAGATAAAGTAAGTTTGGTGTTTACCCTAAGTTTCAGATATCAGTAAAATATCTACACTGACCTCTCTGCCTCCATTCAGCTATTTACTTGCCAAGCATCTGTTGTGTGCATAAGCAACTCTCAGCTCTATTAAAAGAATTTGTTTATTTGTTATTTACTCTACTTTTGCTCAATACTTCCTGAAGCATCTTTCTTCTTTTCTCAAGAAGTAGCCTCTACTAAGTGAAATAAGCCAGTCAGAGAAAGACAAGTACCATATTATTTCACTTATATGTGGGATCTAATGAACAAAATAAACTAACAAAATAGAAACAGACTCATAGATACAGAGAACAGAATGATAGGTGTCAGAGGGGAGAGAGCTGAGGGCAAGGTGAAAAAGATGAAGGGATTCAGAAAAAAAACAACAACCCTAAAACAACAGTATGGTGATGAACAGAGGGAAAGGGGTTGGGGGCAGGCAGAGAGGGTAAAGGGGAGATAAATGGTGATAAAAAGAGACTTGACTTGGGGTAGTAAGCACACAATGCAATATACAGATGATGTATTATTGAATTGCACACATGAAACCTGCATAATTGTTTAACAATGTCACCCCAATAAATTCAATAAAAAGTTAAATTAAATAAAAAAGGAGTAGCACATGGATGACCTGTATCAGAATCACCTGGATTGCTTGTTAGGCATTCATATTCCAGGTCTCCTGCCCAGAATTCAATCTTTTGGGTAGAATCAGGAACCTGAATTTTAATAAGCATCCTAGGTGATTCTTAACCATAATACAGTTTGAGATTCACTGACCTGCAGTAAGAATTCAGTTTCAAAAGAAAGGCTTCTCAGATTTGGCCCTGCCTCTCTCTCCAACCACCCACCCAGAACTACTTGCAGCTCCTCCCCTCTGTAACGATTTTACTCCTGTAAGTCCCCACTCACTTGTAGCCTCTTCCATAGAGCCTTTCCTTCCACCCTGCTATGCCCACCCACATCCCCAGGCAGAGCCTACCACTCCTACATGCATACTTGTGTCATGGCACCTTATATCTTGCTCCAACTTGTCTACCTGTCTATCTCTTCTTCTGGCCTATGAGCTGCTTGAAGACAGGGATAAGGTCTTCGTGATCTTTGCATTCCCAGGGACTAGGATGGTGCCTTGTGTGAGAAGGTACTTGACAAATGGTTCAGTGATAACAAGAGGACCTGTAGGAACTGAAACAAGGAGGTAGGCCAGGGTGTGAGAGGAGGCTCTGGACTCACCTAAACAGGAATGATAAGAAAAGCCAGGTGCTGGAATGCTCCAAGAGGATTTAGAGAAAGAAGAAGAGTCAAAGGCTGAAAAAAAGAACTCGGATGAAATATATATATTGGTAAAATTTACAATTGTGGAAGAAGAAGCAAATATTGCATAAAAGAGCAGAACAGTCAGAGAGATTGGAAATCAGTATAAAAACAGGGAGGAATTCCAAGATGGACATGGGTAACTATACAAAATGCAACAGTAGAGTAGAGGTAGCTGGTGATTGAGAAGGGACACCTGAAGCACAGATTCGTCTTTTTTTTAAAAAGAAAAACTAGAGAATGTCAAACCACCCATCTCATCATCTATCTAGATTTCTAGTGCAAAGATTGTTGCCTTAAGAATGAAGCTTTGAGAGTGACTTCCTAGGGACTGGATACACCAACTAACTGTCTCCTGGCCCCATCTTGATGTTTTCTTCACAGCAATGCACAGATGGATATGAGTGGGATCCTGTAAGACAGCAGTGTAAAGGTGAGCCAACTTCAAAGACTTCCCATGTGAACATAGCTGTCTGTGTCACTCTTCCTGTCCTGTTAGTATACAGAAAGGGCATGAGCATATATGTACATGTCCGATTTTTCCCATAAGAAGATTCCTGACTTATTTTATTATTCACCACAGATATTGATGAATGTGACATTGTCCCAGATGCCTGCAAAGGTGGAATGAAATGCGTCAACCACTATGGAGGATACCTCTGCCTTCCTAAATCAGCCCAGATTATTGTCAATAATAATGAACAACCTCAGCTAGAAACACCAGCAGCTGAAACTGTGGGTGCAGCCGCAAATGCAGCCGCAACTTCAGGTACAGCTGGGGGTGTAGCAGCCAGTGGTATGGCAGCCAGTGCAGTGATGCCTGGGAATGGTTATGTTGCCAGTGCAGCTGCAGTTGCAGGCCCAGAAGTGCAGACTGGCCGAAACACCTTTGTCATCCGGAGGAACCCAGCTGACCCTCAACGTATTCCCTCCAACCCTTCTCACCGGATCCAATGTGCAACAGGCTATGAGCAGAGTGAGCATAACATCTGCCAAGGTAAGCATGACTTCTTATACTAACCAGAAGGTTCTTGCCCAAGTGCACCTCATGATGAAAATAACAACTCATAAATTTTTGACATTTTCCCACATGTGCCAGACATTGTGCTAAATGCTTTGCCTGCATTATTGTATTTTATCATCACAATTATCCTAAAAGATAGTTGCTGCCCATATAGTCATTATTTTACAAATGAGGAAACAGTAGCTCAGAAAGGTCATCAGTGGTTCTCAACCTTAGCTGCATATATTTAGGGTCACTTGGGAGCCTTTAAAACTCCTCTATAGCCCAGGCCAGTTTGGCCCAGTGTTTAGAGTGTTGCCCATGGACCATAGGGTTGTGGCTTTGATTCCCAGTAAGAGTTGTGAGGGAGGCAACCAATCGATGTGTCTCTCTCACATCGATGTTTTTCTCTCTCTCTCCCACCCTCCCCTTCCACTCTATCTTAAAAAAAAAAAAAAAATGAATGGAGAAGTATCCTCGGGTGAGGATTAACCAAGAAAAAAAAACTACTCCTCTATGTCCAAGCCACACCCTGGCTCAATGAAATAACAATCTCAGGGGTGGGTTCCAGGCTTCAGTATTTTTTAAAGTGCCCCACGTGGTTCCAGTGTGCAGCCAAGTTTGAGAACCTGGGGTGACACAGGTGGTGAGTGCAGAGCTGGCCTTCAAACCCAGGCAGGCAGGGCTAGAGTCACAGCTGTCAGAAGGAGCAATCAGGTTATTTGTGGAAATTTGAAATTGTTCTGTCAAGTTACTACATAAATATCCCCCTTTGGGTTCTTAAGCTTTCTTTTCATTGAACTTCCCACTGACATTTTTCCCCTTATTGTGGAATAAAGAAATGGGACTCCTGCTTCTCAGTACCACTGAGGAAAGGGAGTCTCTCCCATTCATATTCATATGCCTTTTAAAGTTCTCATTTGAACACATTTCACTTATATCATTTGCACTATGGCACCATCTGCCTGGGTTTTTCTGTTTATTGTCACTGTATTCTAGAAACAGCTGCAGACTCATGCTTGCAAAGCAATAAGAATCTTGGGCTTTGAAGACACGTAGGATATTAGATAACTAGACTATGCTAAGGGATTCTGTTTCCCTCTTCCTAGTTAACAAACCCTTTCAGATCTGCTTGATGTAGAAATTGTGTTACTGAGCTAGGTCACAGGAGTCCCAGACTCCTTTTTCACTGCAGGGCTGACTGAGTAGACCCCGTATTAATACCATAAATGCCCTGGAACACATTGGTCAATGGAAAGAGCCCAGGAGTTCTTACCTTCTACCTGCTCATGAGTGAAGAAGAAAGCACCTTGCCCCCTCGACACCAAGGGGTTCAATTGGGATCGCCGAGCTGATGCATTAAGTGAGAAAAGCATCTCCTGGTCCCCTGGGACGCTGCCCCTTATTCACCAATGTTGAGATTTATCTTCTGTCTAAGAGAGAGTAGATTTTAAATGGCTTATAAATAAAGTAAGGAAACTTATCATACTCTGACTTTTATTATTTTATATCTTGTGTTCAAATTTTAAGTACCCCACAACAAGAGCTAACCCATGCTGTGATGGTGTCACTTTTCACAGAGCCCAGCACATTAGCATCTGTTTTGTGTTACTGTCATGAGTCAGAATTCCAGTATTGATGATGAATGCCTCAACATCTGATATTTAATTTAAGGATTATGTCAAGGAGATAACCTCATGAGATTATTTTATATGTATGCATTTGAGTAAATATTGATTAAAAATACCCAAGTTTATTTAAGACACCAACTTTTAATTGTTTTTGAAATATATAATTATATTGGAAGGTTTGGTGGTATTTTTCCCTGAAATGTTTTTGCTGAAATTTTTTAAGTATGACTTTTATGTGCTGAATTGTTTTTTTATACTTCAGATGTATATTTCACTGGTATTTAGGAGAAAAACACACACACAAATAAATGAATAAGTTACATCCCAAAGTAGTTTATAGTCCATCATTGACAACTGTGGTTGAATTTAAGAATGATGCCTATAACCAAATGATTAAGTTCTAGAATAAAATATATTCAGAATTTACAATATTCACATTGGTTACAGTAGAAACTATATAATAAATTAAATCCTATTTAATTTTTCTTAAACTGATTTGGACTATCTTACAAAGTAAGTTACTTTTCACATATTAAAACATTTATACTTCTTACTTGCTTGGAAAATTTGTATAGTTATAAGCTAAAACTATTACATGTCTTGCTTATGGTAGATGCTAAATACATACTTATTGATTGCACATAGGGTGTTTCCAACCCAAACTATTCTGCATAATTCAACCAATTTCTAAAACTTGGGAGGGGGAGGTCTGTATCATTTGAAGCAGGGTTAAAAGTTTTTTGGATGACTTATGACTTAAATTGGATTTCTTCCCACCTCACAAATTTTACAAAGTGCCCACAAATGTGGATTTACTTAATTGTTGATAAAAGGGGCTTATTTCATATGATAACAGCAGGATAATCTGTCTAGGGAATCTGACTAACAAGTCAAGTCACACTTATGCTCATTTATTATTGAGCTAATCAAAGATGCAGTCCAGCTTCTTCTAATTGCCTACAGATGTAGGACATTCTCATTCCAGGCCAGCAGCACAAAATAATGTTTTATAACCAATGTGAAATAGTGGGGACCTCTGCTTAAAACAATAATGTGCTCTAAGGACCTCTATTACTGACATCATTGTGAAGTTTGAGGAGCCTTCTGTTTTAATAAAGATCTCCACTCCCTTTTAAATATTGCATACTTATGCCTAGTAATCCAAACACATATACCATGGTTGCTGGATTGGAATAAATGAATGCCTTGCAGATGAGTCATAATTTGTATAAAAATTATTTCTTTTTTCCATATATATTTTTCAACAGGTACAGTTTATCATTACATAACCTAAAGCTGAGGACATCTTTATGTAATGGATGAAATCTGTACTGTGTTTCAGTGTTACAGTCAATTGTGCCTTTGAATGCACTATTACCAATCATAGATGGTACCTAATAATTTAAATACCAGTAAATATTTTAAATATATTCTATTTCATAAATATATATATTTAACCACCTGTCTGCATTTTAACATTTAATAAAAACATGATCCTTTTATTCCTTTTCTTAAATTTTTCCAGAGTTTTTCAATTTTATGCAAAAACAAGGGGTTTAAAATGCAACATAACACCCAAATATCAATTCATAGTGAATAGGTTTCTTTTCAGGTAATTTTTGTCAACTGAGGGTAATGCTGGGGGAGCCACTCTCACTGAGAATTTCAAATGACAGGTGGCAGCTATAAAATTACATGAAAATCATTTCAGTGTCACATACCTGGAGTGATGTATAAATAAAGTTTTATAAATTAATGGTTTCTCCATGAGCTATCACCTGCCTCAAAGACAACAGATATTCATCTTCTCCAAAAGAAAGTTGGATGAATGGGGAATATACAGGAACCCATTGATGACTCACTTTATTTCTCTACATCTTTAGTGCATAGTCTCTATGTAATCTTCATCAAAAGGGATGGAGTTAAAATCACTAGTTCAAGATGAGAAAGGCTTTTTTAAGAGCATATATAACTTTCTAAGAGCCCATTTTTGTAGGAAAATATAAAATATTTGGGAACTGACAAGAGAAAGCATCAATTGCCCAGTTTGAAGTAATTTGTTTATGTAATTGAACTTTTGAAAAATTAAACATCGGGTATTTTGTACAACTAGTAATTAAGCCATTACTAAACTCATTCAGGATTTATAAGTATCATTAATAACTTGCTAAAGAAACTGTGCCATAAAAAAAAAAAAAAAACTCACACTGGCTGGTTTGGCTCAGTGGTTAGAGTGTCGGCCTGTGGTCCTGAGACACCCGGTTCAGTTCCCTCTAAGGGCACATACCTTGGTTGCAGTTTGTCCCTGGCCCTAGTTGGGTCCTGTGGGTGGCAACCACTTGATGTGTCCCTTTCACATCGATGTCTCTCTCTCTCTCTTTCTCCCTCCCACTCTATCTGAACAAAAAATGGAAAAAATGTCCTTGGGTGAGGATAAAAAAAAAAAGAACTCAATACAAAACTTAATGAAGCTCATTATGGAGCCAAATTCAGAATGGAGTACCTGGTTTGTATTATATAAGGTGAGAAATGTGAAAACATACCCTAGAGTTTCCAACTGCCCCTGTGTACCCAAGAGTGTTCTGGTTTGAAAACTGAAAGCCCCCAAACCCTGGAAATGCCTCAGTCCTGGGCAAATGGAATGGTTGACCACTCCAGCACACCCCCAATAACCAAATTTCCTGTACCTCACAGCCAAGATTGAGACAGTCCCAATATTACAGCCATTTCTTTTTCAGGTTAAGGCATTGTTTGTCCAATAGGACTGTGTTTTCAAGTTTGTTTTAAACTTTCAAAAACTAAACTTCATTGATGTGTATGTCCCTGGACAGAGCCTTTCTTTTCAGTTGTCAGAATTCCACTTGCCAGTCTCTCAATGAGCTGGTTTCCACTTTATTCTAGAGTGCATGTGCAGGACACCTAGACATCAGCACCTGCACACTTAGATACACAGCAGTGAGCTCATCTTACCACATTACTGTGGGAAAAGATTTTACCACTCAGCCAAAGTAAATGTCATGCTTCAACTATAAAGTTTTGTTTGCCACAATTTTTTTTAGCTATATTTTCAATGATTTTATTTAATTTTTATCTTTATTACCTACAACACAGAAGCAACTAAAAAGCTAAAAAGAAAAAAAAAATGCCTTTTATAATGCCTAAAAGAACAAAAAATTATACTCAGGGTTAGAAAATTACACTCTTGCCTAGCTGGTGTGGCTCAGTGGATTGAACTTTGTCCCATGAATGAAGGTTCTGGTTCAATTCCCAGTCAGGGCACATGCCTGGGCTGTGGGCTCTATCCCCAGTGGAGGATATGCAGGAGGCAGCCGATCAATGTTTCTCACATCGATCTTTCTATCTCTCTCCCTTCCTCTCTCTCTAAAAAAAAATGAATGAAAACATTTTTTTCAACTACACTCTTGAGGACCATCTATTGTCTTCCACACATTGCTTTATAAACACAAGGATAACTATTTTAAAAAAGGGTTAATATCTATACATCTACTTTAAAAAAGATAAAGTTGAACTAACATGTACAGATTCTCTGATGCTAGAAACATCTCTCTTTGACTTCTTTCATTTAAAACTTAAAGGATCTCATATCCAGAAGAGGATTTATAAATTATAGTGCAATCAAGTGGCTTAGCATTCCTGGCATTATCATTATAAAACAACTTCCAAACACTGTCCTTTTGTTGATCCTCACTAATGTCTTTAGGGTTTCTGGTTGCTTTTGTTAATTTGTGAGGAAATGCTTAATTTTTATTACATATAATTATATAGCACCCCCCCCCAAAGAGCTTTGATCTCAGAAAATATTTTGCAAAAGAAAGACTGTAATCAAGTCAATTATGACATTAACAGAAAAGAAATACTTCAATCAGAAAGTAAAATGGGTATTTAGCCTGCTTACAGTTCCTTGTTATTTTTAGTTGTTAATTGCCTTTGAGTATCTGAAGATTCTCTAAAGCCACATCAATAGACAAGGAGTTAAGTTTATAGGGAAAGCTTAATTACTTTTTAAATAAGCTGATATAGTATAATAGAATTAATTGATCTCCTCCTGAAAAATCTAGCAGTGTTTCATAATTTACTTTTCCAAATACTGTAGTCATTGGATTTCTAGTTATTTTAAGACTCACTTTTAATATACATTTGTAAATAGTGTATAAAGGTATCTGATTCACACATAGTCAGGAAGTGTCCTTAAAATTCCTTCATAAAAATTGAATGACAGCTATTTGAGATGGAAGGATGGAAGAGACCAGTATGATCACTCTTACATAAAAGACTATGCTATGTAACTGCCTAATTCAATAATTCCCAAAGTGTGGTCCCAGACTAGAAGCATTAGCATCATCCAGTAACATAAATGCAAAATCCTGGGCCCCATCAGACCTACTGAATCAGAAACTCTGGGGATGGAGCTCAGTTATCTGTGTTTTAACAACCTCATGATTTGGATCCCTACTCAAGTTTGAGGAGCAATATTCTAACTTAATCTGAATTTCAGGAAGCTGCATTTAGCTACAAAAATTGGAGGGTGGGGTCAGAATAATTTACATGGAATATGGGAAGTAATGAAGAGAAAACATCAAAAATATATATTCTGGCCCTGGCCAGTGTAGCTCAGTTGATTGGGTGTCGTCCCATGCACCAAGAGATCACTGGTTCAATTCCTGATCAGGGCATATGCCCAGTGTTTCAGACTTGACTCCTAGTAGGGGGCATGCAGGAGGCAGCCAATAGATGGTACTCTCTCATCTACGTTTATCTCTGTCTCCCTCTCCCTTCCTTATCCTCTCTCTCTTTAAAATCAATAAAAACATTTATTTTTCAAATCTGAACCTGGGAAAACAGGTGTTATGTTCACTAACTCAGCCTAATTTTTAATGTATATACACATTCTGCTTCTAGGATAGAATAACATTTCTAGTTTACTTTTCTTACCTTTTTTATTGTCATCACCAGTACTCTTATCCCTATCATGATTGGTCATGAGTCCTAGTAAGATCTATATCCATGAACCAAGGACATGATATGTGCAATCTAGAGGAAAAGGAAAAGAATGAAAACGAGATCTTACACCTCTCTATAAAACCTGCAGTTGTGCAATACTATAACTGCTCTTAAATTGTCAGTAGGTGAAACTCTAAGTTATGCTATGGGTATGGTGATATGATTGATGCTAAGAGATACCATATGTTCCATAGGCAGCCCTTTATATGCATGGCATAAACTTGTGAGATGAGGCAATGTTGTTTGGAGGTTCAGTTCATGAGTCACAAAAGAGGAGGTTGACTCTGACTTTGGCCTTAAAGAATCTTTTGGTTATCAAAATACCAGATGCACAGCTGACATTTCATTCTATTTAAACTCCATGAATATCATCAGATATTAGAAGAATTGTCACATAAGTATCTTCTTTTCCATTCAAACTTGATCAAAGATTTACTTCCCACCAAAGACTAGAAGATTCTTGTTAAAACTAGTTAACACAATCTGTGAAATGAGTTTCTTCTCCTCATAGAAATAACAAGAAGCAGATTAGAGTAGAATTGCAAGCCTGGGTAACTTCAAGAATGTGCACTGGTACTGGCTCATTCTTTTTTCTCCAGCAGAAAGTTTCAAACTCTGTTCTCTAAAATCATCAAGTTGCCCCATTTGTAAGGATTGCACTTGTTGAATTACTGGCACAATTTTATTCTTTGAAACCAGAGCAAACAAAATTTGCCCCAAATGTGTTTGATTTTGCATGAATGTACAAATAAGTAATTCATGCCACATCTGAAATTCATTAGCCTGATGCATTTTCCAGGAGGTAACTGCAAATTGCACGCTCCAAAATAAAACTGATCAAGAAAATGGCATTCAAATACTAGCAGAAGAAAACAGCTATCATTGCAAGAATTTAGCCCCAGTTGTAGGCTTGTAACTTGAACCTAAATGATTTGTAAACATTTAACAAAGAAGTAAAGAAATTGCATGAAAGGAAGGCTGAGTACTAGGATATTGGCAGCAGCAAGGACAGCTTATTGTCATCAATTTCATATGCCCACGATTAAAAGGAGGGAGACAGTGAATCAGTGTTATGTAAACGTATACTAAATAGACTAAAACTTTGAGATTTGGGCTAACTCAAATTCTAAAACTTGAACTACCTTTCAAATAATTGTACATCTATACTAGTCAAGGGTAAAGTAGTCAATGATAACCAGGCAATATTGCAAGTGAAGTTTATCAAATAGAACACAAAACCATTGGGTTAGTGTTTGATAAATTCAATCAAGTTTGAGAACCACTTTCTGTTTTAAGGCACTTGGATTGAATCAATGTAGAAAGAAGGAGTAGTCATAATCTTTAGGGAACTTTGTGTCATTGACCAGTGAATTATCAAATAACAATAAGAGAAATAAACAGTTCAATAAAGTGAACACATGGTACATCACAAGCAATACACAACGAATTGCCAAAAAATAGAAGTAAAAGTAGTGTGTGACACAGGTAGCTTTACAATTTACTAAAATCCTATTTGGACAAACAAAAACAAAAACATATCTCCAGAAATGTGGTCAAGAGCAAAAGTCTGGTTCCTCCCTGGAATGGCCCATTTAGGAGAGAATGATAAGGAGAAATTGGGCGGTCTGATGAGGAAATTGAGGTCCAAACAACAGAGGAAGTAATCATCCTGTAGCCAAGCAGAACAGCACAAAGTAGCACTGTATCCAAGTTCCTTATATCTTACAGTGGTTTCCCAGGAAAGTCTCTCAGAAGCAGTGTGCTGCGGATAGGAATGCTAACAAAGCAAGGATGGGGTAGGTGGAGGGAGTCTGAATCGGAAAGTACATATGATGTGGAGCCACAGCAAACATTTATTACCAGGTCCATCTTCAATAGCTCTCCCCAACAAAATACTAATGTGTTCCATCAGCTCTGTCTAAATATCTTCTCTAACTGTGTCCCATTTTACTTATTAATGAATAGGCACTAAGCAAATCTTTGGTGTGTGTGTGTGTGTGTGTGTGTGTGTGTGTGTGTTTGAATAAATGAATGGTTTTTATTTATTTTATATTTCCGTCCTCAGCTGAGGATATGTTTATTGATTTTAGACAGAGAAAGAGAGAGAAAAAGAAACATCAATGTGAGAGAGAAACATTGATTGGTTACCTCCTATACACACCCTGACCAGGGACAGAACCCAGAAGCCTGGGTGTGTGCCCTGACGGGGAATCAAACCTGCAATCTTTTGGTGTATAGGATGATGCTCCAACCAACTGAGCCACCCAGGCAGGGTATGAATAAGTGAATGGTTTTTAATCATCAGAGAACTTAGGCTTAAAGTTTACTCTGAATTCTAAAACTATACTTGAAAATCAGCTATTGAGTACCATATGGATATAAGGTACATGTTATCAAATTTCTCATTAATTTTGGAGGGCTTAGATATTTTGTTCCCATTTAGAGCTGAAAGAAGAAGCTATAAAGTCTATTCTTTACATTTTAGATTGTTAGGTTTTTAATAAACATTGGTGAATAAACAGGTTGCTGTTACTCCTAGAGCAAGACTAGTCATTGGAAATACTTTCTGGCAAGCCATTTAACCAATTAATTCAGCTCTGTGTCAAACATATCCTTACTAGAAATCTAATGGTGAATAATGATGATAACAGTTGATTTGAAGAAATTTATTTGAAGTGAAAAATCATAATGCTGGTAAATATTTATGTGAACTGTCTGATATTGTGAAGAAACTCAAGACTTTTGATGCTCTATACAGTAAGAATAAGAAAGGAGGAAGGGATCAAAACAATCTATCTTGGTCATTTCCCTCAACTGCAGGCCAGAAATTATCCTTCTAAAACCTACTTTGTTCAAATTGCTAAAGGTTAGAATCCAAGAGAGTCACTTAGTTGGGTGTAGGTGACTTAAAGAAGCTCAGTTCTGATCTGTCCCAAAGTAGGAATAGCTGAATTGCTAGAGAAGTGAGAATGAAATCCCTGGATCCCTCTTGAGAGCTGATAACTAGCTCACACTTGAACTGTAGGTGAAATAAGAGTGTGAAGTAGGGAATGGAACTAGAGACAACCACTAAGAGCTATGTGTATAGCTTTATGTGTGCCCAGCTAAAGTGAGAATCGTGACAGGAATTGGTACTACCTTGTGCACATAGCTAAATCTCAAAAAGCTCCCAGGACTGGAGTGAAATAAGTTTGGCCCTCTAAACATCTGTATGTGCTGCAAAGAATCTAATCCTACCTTCTTGGATGCAGGTGTAGAACACAATCCAAAATGGGAAACAACTCAAGGGGTCCTCTTCAGTGTCCACCCTGGAGACCAGGTCTATCATGATCTGGATTAGAGAAGAATTTTTGTTCAATGGTGATTAGTTAGATTTCACTTGTGAAATATTTTGCAGCCAAGCCCTCTTCTCATACATACATTCACAAAATAAGCATGCCATTAAATTGTTGTTGACGTTTTTACTATTCACCGAAAAACTTAAATATCTCAATATCTTTTTTTCTTTTTTTTTTTTTTTTTTAATCCTCACCGAGGACATTTTTTCATTTTTTGTTCAGGTAGAGTGGGAGGGAGAGAGAGGAAGAGAGAGAGAGAGAGAGAAACATCGATGTGAAAGGAACACATCGAGTGGCTGCCACCCGCACAACCGACCAGGGCCGGGGACAAACTGCAACCGAGGTACGCGCCCTCAGCGGGAACCGAACCCGGGTCTCTCAGGACCGCAGGCCGACGCTCTAACCGCTGAGCCAAACCGGCCAGGGCAAATATCTCAATATCTTTTAATACAGCAAAATTACAAAGAGCAGTATATCTCTGTTTTTTAGAATCTTTCAAATTGTTGTGGATTTCCAGAGGCTTCTTAGAGAATTATATCAACTTTATTCATTTTTCTAAAATATGTGAGCAAATTAGATACCCAGCATCATTCAATTTTGCAAAACCCAACAGTGAATTTTTTTCTAATCACAATATTCTGTAAGGCCTAGAGAGACACTGTTGTGTAAGATGGTTTTTTCTCTCCTTATCCATATTCCTACCTGAGTAGTTTGTGATATCAAATATACCACATCTAAAATAGATAGGACATTCCAAAAGAAGGTGTTAAAAGACACCTTAGAAACCTGTCCATGCAAGGTAACATTCTTGCCTAGATTTAGTTTATTCCAGCTATTTACACTCATACATGTGTATGCATACATATACCCACTCAAGTTCATGCCCATATACACACAGGTGCACAATCATACAATGCACCATTATTTTTGGTAGGAAAGTAACATGTACCAAAATTAAATTGATCAAAGCAGATAATGCTTCTAAAATGATTCCAAACACAGTTGCCCTCTCATTATTCTCATAAAATCCACACTAGAACCGGCTTTCTAAATTCTACCTATCACAAGAGAATAGGGCACCTTGGACAGCTACTATACAATGAAATCAAGAAAGAAATTTGTTAGATGGAAGAGATAAACCACCGAACTTATATGCATGTACGCATAACCAATGGACATGGACAACAAAGTCAGGTACAGGATGGGGGGTATGGGGAGAAGGGTGTCAGTGGGGGAAAAATGGAGAAACATCTGTAACAAAAATAAATTAATAAAAAATTTTTGTTAGATGGAATATAAAAAGGGTCAACATAGTACAAGTAAAAGTTTTAAGATATAACCTCTAAGACTATCTTTCTTATACTTCTGCAGCTCCTGGACATTTCTTTACTAATCTTTCTCAGAGATTTACCTGGATTCCAACCTGACCCACCGTTGTAATCTATAACGAGCAACTGAATTTTTAACAAAACTTTTTAGAGAGACCATTACAGATTGCATTAGAAAATAACCTACTAGGACTGGTATTGAATCTCCAAGCTCTTTCATTCTTCAGACTTCAGTAAATTATATAGTCAGGAGATAGTTCAGAATAAAACACCACTGAAAAAGCAAAGCAGAAAATTCCAGTCATTCATGATTAAACTTTCCCAGTAAGAGTTGTGGGCACTTTTTGTAAAAAGAGTTCATGGTCTGACATATCAGAAGAACCCTAATCCAGAGAGGTAGCCAGAGAAAAAAGTCTTCCCACACAATCTGGCAGAGATTCAGGGCTTTGTTCTGAACTTCAATTGCATGACCTCCCTTCTTTAGTGAATGAAAAATAAATAAATAAATAAGCTAATGATAAAAAGAAGCTAAGTGAAAGAAGGAAATTTAATTGTAATACAATTTAAGTAGGTAATGATTGTTCTGAAAAACCAGAAAAGATTATTTGGTGAGATAGCTCATTAAAAAAAAAAAGTTAAATACAAAACCATTGTAAATTAGAGTTGAACTCTAAGTAAATTAAAACAATCTTCTCATTGATTTTTCAATTTTGAGCAGAAAAATGGATTGTGTAAACATGCCGGAACAATCGTTTCCAATAAAACAAGCTATCACAGGTGGTTAATACCCCAAATAGACTACCAGAATATCATTTTATTAGAAAAAGATCTTGGACTATTTAGTTGTCATTCTAAAAACCTGGCCACAAGCAGTATTAAGGTTCTGATAGTCTTAAAGAATTATTGGAAAATATGACTATAATATCAAAGTCAGGAGTAGGCAAAAATTACACATTACCAAAAGTATTATGAATCTATTACAAAGTGACTTTAACTATATTTTTCTTGGTAAAATACACAGTTCCCTGGTCTCATCTTAAGGAAACAGTTTATAGTGATGAGAAAATGAGGACGACCTCAATAAGGAAGATTACATGAATTATTTGATTAAATATGAATGGTGTTTTGAATTTTCTCAAGAGCTTAAAAAAAAATCAAAAAGGTCCTGAGAAGTGGACAAAACTAACTGCAAGCAACAGGTCTGCAAATTAGAAAAAGAAGAATCAGTATAGACTCAGACCAAGCCTTTGCAGTTGATTTGGAGAACTGAATTTAAAAATCATTCTACTAGATGACACATCACTATTATGTCAACTAACTCAGCAGAAAGACAATACCACTTTCCCTCTTCTCTGTTACAGTTAGGTGAACCTTTTAAGCACAAAGATCGCAACTGGGTCACTGCAGACACTAAAAATTCATTATTTAAATGTTGCTTCCCCATTGATTGACTTTAAATATATATACCACATGAGACTTCCCTAGCTCCTCTGCTGAGTGACTCAAGTAATAGGGACACACTCCCCATACCACCTACCATCACCACACACCACTCAGTATGAAAATCAGTCATCTAAGGAAAAACCAAAAATGCATTCAACGCCTGTTAAGGTAGAGGCCAAGACTATAGTCACGCATTTGTGGAGAAAAGAGCAAAGTAGAGCAAACAGCTGAGCCATATCTTTTTCTTCTAGGAATTAACTCTTACCCTGAGAGATAGGAGCAGCTAGCTATGAGAGGAATGAGAGGCAGAAGAAAGAAAGGAGGGAAAAAAAAGATGTAGAATGAAACTGGATGAGAGATAAAAAGAGAGCAAGATAGGAGAGTGGGGGACATTGAGCAAGCATAAGACTGTACTAATCAAAAATAGGTTCTACTGTAGTATCTCATAAAACAGTATTATAAGTACCAACGTTCCACCTATGTATATGTGCATAAATGCACTAATCAAGGAAAAGGTGATACCTAAATAAATCAGTTTTGCTATTTTTATAAAATTGGCTGTGGGAATCTTTAGATTGGGATTCAATTGTCTAATATGTTTGGGGGAATCTCCTATATACTATGTGTGATAGAACAGTGCTTCTCAAACTTTAATGAACATACAGGTTATCTGGAGATTCCATTAAAATGAAAATTCTGAATCAGTAGGTCTGGCATGAAGCCCAAGATTTCACATTTCTAAAAATCTCCCAGATTTTGTTGATATATACATAGCCTACCTTCCAGTAGCTGACAGTTTGTTTTCCTCACCAAGAAGTTGACAGGTCTAGTGATTCTTCATTCTCTATTTTCTGCAGTTAGCAAAATGTAGTATAATTTGGATAGAATCTGATTTGCATGTAGTGTTTTTTTCCCCAAAATATATTTTTCTCCTCTGGTTACATATTCAGTTTCTCTAATTCCATTGTACCACCTACAGCTATAAAACATAGATATTTCCCTTCCTTCTTAATTAATATAATTTTCTAATGTTGTGAAGTATTTTTAATGCTTGAGTGCTCAATAGGATTCCAGAAAGTAGTCTTTGGCAGCAAAGAGGGGCAGAAACCCCATGAAACTCAGCAAGACAAAGGTTCCCATCTGAGTCATCCCCTAAGTGATTCTGACTATATTAAACTAGGTAACCTCTCTGGGCCTCCGTTTTCTCAGCTGTTCAAAATAAGAGTTGTCCTTTCCAGCTTTAATTCAACATGATTTTGAGAGAGAGAGAGAGAGGGAGAGAGAGAGAACACTGTCTAGGTTACAAGCCTTGCAAGTGTGGTAACTATATGGTTCTTGATTGATACCTGCCTGGAATTTAAACTGTTTCTATTGATAGGAGTTCTTTGCCTTTCAAATGCATTTTTATCAGGAAAGCATACCAGAGCAAGTTAAAATCTGCCCTGGGAAGAATGTAGGTGCATTCTCTGATTATAATAGCATTAATGACTCAGAAACAAAAAGCAGACAGTTCTAATGACTTGAACCTTTATTGACAAAACAGTTCACACCGTGTGTTGGTTGTTTGCTAAAAGTCTGGACCAAATCATAGAAGCTTTTTTTTTTAATCCTCACCTGAGGACATTTTTCCTTTTTTTTTTTTTTTGTTTTTGTTCAGATAGAGTGAGAGGGAGAGAGAAAGAGAGAGAGAAACATCGTGAAGGGGACACATTGAGTGGCTGCCACCCGCACGACCAACCAGGGCCGGGGACAAACTGCAACCAAGGTACGTGCCCTTAGCGGGAACCAAACCCAGGTCTCTCCGGCCCGCAGGCCGACGCTCTAATCGCTGAGCCAAACTGGCCAGGGCCCAAATCATAGAAGCTTTAAAAGCTCAGTCACTGGAGTCTTTTCCCCAGGCAGTGACATGAGTAATTATTATGTTTCATGCCACAGCCCTGAACTCCACTTCAATCCTAGTTTAGAAAAGAGTTATTTTTATTTTGGTGTGTAAATATACTTTTTGCATGTATTACTATAATCCCCTTTAAAATGTAAAGGTTATATGCTCTAAATGTTATAGGCTCTTTATTATTTCCTTGATTTTGAATGGATTTCCTACCTTCATTGGGGAACATGAGTACCTTTCAGCAGAGAACAATCTGTTTGAAGTCTACAAATTTATTCATTTCACATTTTGGGTTGTTGTTTTTTTTTCAGCCTCAGACTTAAACCATGCTTACAGCCAAAGCAATCAGTCTTTTCTGAGTTTATGCATTATTATCCATCACATAAGGAGGTCTATGAGCCAGTTATCTGTTGCCGTCTAACAAATTACCCTAAAATTTAGGGGCTTAAAACAATAAACACTTATTACTTCAAAGTTCCTCTAGTCAAGAATCAAGGTGTGGCTGAGCTGGGTCCTCAGACTTTGGGTCTTTCTCAAGGCTGCAGTTGTCTCCAGGCTTGACCGTGAAGGATCCACTTCCGAGCTCTCACTAATGGTTGTTGGCAGGATTCACTTCCTGCCTCCTTTCCCCATGAGTTCTTCTTCCTTCAGTACCTTGCTACATACACCTTTCCAAAGAGCATCTTACAACATGGCAGCCTTCATCATTAGAGGAAGCAAGTGAAGGGCAAAAGAAGATATCAGCAAGAGAGAAAGTACTAAGACTGAAGTCACGGGCTTTTGTAATTTAATCACTAAAGTGACAACTCATCACTCTTGCCATATTCTGTTCATTAGAAACCAGTCACAAGAGCCAGCCCACATTCAAGGGAATGAATGCCAGGAGAATGGGATCATTGGAATCCATGTCAGAAGCTGCCTACCACAATCTGTAATTAAAATTCCCCTGAATTGATTCCAACCAAATCTTTTGAGTTAAACTAGGATTTTAAATAGTTTCAAAAAGGCAAGATTTGACTTAAAAAGCAAAATTCACTAACCTCCCCAGGAGTTCAGGAGACTAGATGACTCATTCAGATATGCAGCCTGATGGGTGTGGTTGAAACAGAAAAAGTACTGTCCAAAAGAAGAACCTCGCTGCTTCTAACAACTTCTTTTGTATGAATGTATCCTTGTCTTCTTCATGGACTTGGGATTTCTAAAATGCTATCAATCCTTTCCAAAACCACTCCTAAATAATTATAACTATATCCTTTGATTTTAAAATTTCTACTTATTAAAATCCTCCTTTATTCCACTCTACAAATAAGCAATATCCATGAAACAAAAACTTTATGAGCAAACACAAAACTCCCTTCATTTTGCAGATTAGCATGTACCCACCCTGTCACATAAAAGAAATTTAAACTGTTCTTGCTTCATGTTAACTTTTGTCCTAGACATCTGTGATACTTTTGTTTGTTAGGAAATCATGGAAAATATTCTCCATCTCTCCCATAGAAATCTTTGTTCTGTTTTGGTCACATTTTCCCTCCTACAGCCTATTCAAAAGCCTGCTCCTAGAATCATCATTTTTATGTTTAACTATGTTGACCTCTTTTCTTTTGCCTTAGAAATCTACTAGGAGACATGTGCTGAACATAACCTAGTTTATAATAAACAGGTTGTGTAATAGTTAAACATTCAGAAGCCTTAAAATCCAACATGAACTTTCTTGGGACTCTGAGGAGTAGGTATCTTGATAGAAGGCAGAACAGTGGCTTGTTTTTTCAACAAGAAGGCAATACAGAGGTAGAATAGCACTCTAAGGGAAAGGAAAAGATAAATTAGCAAAAACAGGCAAATCAGTGAAGGTGAAAACCACGAAAGTGAATCATGTATTGCGGGACCTATAGAGTGGTGGCATGTAAGGAAGGCCACCCACCACATCCAATTTTCCCTAGAATAA